AAGTATTATGTGATGTTGCACCTGGTAGTGAACCAAGACAACGTTATGAAGCTAATATGACTGAAATATTTCAACGTACGCAAGCATTTGAAAAAAAACGTTTAGATTTTTTTAAAGAAATATTTACTGAATATATTAAAACATTACAACAACAAGCTGTTTTCAATAAAATGCTTGATGATTACGTCCGAGTTTTACAAATACATAATACTCAAGCTGATCTTGATGTTTGGTATCATAATCATGGACCTGGTTCACAATCGCATTATCCTGTTTTCGAAGAATTTCAAGATACTGTTTGAAGAAGAAATGTTTATTATTATTATTGTCTATGCTAATTTTTCAGTGACAAATATATAAAATAAAACGTTAAAGATAAATTTTTTATGGTGTAAGCAAAATAATTTTATGTTAAAAAAAATAAGAATAGAGAAATTGCTGTATGATGAAGAATTATTTTCGATCATTATTTTTTGTCAATCAGTCATAGCAAAAAATGAATGATTCATTTCAAATAAATAAACAATGAATCTTGCATTTCATTTTTTATAATCAGCAAGGTATCAAAAGAGGAAAGGTTTTTTTTCGTAACTTATTCACGATGATATATAGGGATGTAGAGAATAAATCACTAGACTAATTATCTAAGAATAATATAGCTGTTGATAGAAAATGTTCAATATTAGTTGAAGTTTTCCTGAATATCAAATATTTTGTTTCAAATTTGTTATCATTCATACGATTCGTCTTTTGATTCTAAATATCATTAAAACCACGATTCGAAAGATCATTGTTGCTTCCTTCTTTTGTACATTTTTCAATAGTCAGTCATGTTTTGTTTTTTTTGCGTTTCAAATGTTTTTTTTTTTCGTGATTAGAACTCGTACGAGGTCGATAGAGAACATTTTCAATTGATCAATCGCTTTCTCACAGAAAGCTAGAAGATTGTAGGCTATAGACGATGCTGACTCTAAATATGACTATAAGAAATTCCCTCAAGTATGTACTTGTTGGTTTTCTATACTAACAAAAATTTTGTCAAAACCGATCTTAGATCAACCCAGATTATGAAACATATTGAGTTGTCTATAAAACAATAATCTTTTCTGTTTTCTAAAAATGAGTTTTAAGTAAAATAATATTATTTTGAAAATTTCCATATTGAAATGTTGACATATATTTGTTGTATAAATTAATATGACTGTATTTTCTGTAAAGGCAAGAGTTTGAAATAAAAAAATTACTGTCTTCTAGGCAACCCGATATACTCTATAATCTCGATGGATCAAGGCAAAAAGTTTGCTATTCTAGAAAACCAGCATATGAAGACCTAAGAGAATTTCTCATTGTCATATTCGATATCAGCATGGTTGATCGCCTACAATCCATTAACTTTCGACGAGAAAACGATTGATCAGTTGAAAACGTTTCCTTGTCAGGCAATATTTCAAATATAACAATAATATACTGTTCGTTCAGTGTTTCATGTTTATTTATTTACTTTTTTTAATATTCCTTTTTCTATATCGCATTTATTCGTTTTGAATATGAAAAATCTGTACCATGCAGGAATATAATTTTATTCAAAATAAAATAAAACATTATCGTTGCATTTCATGTACTAATGTCCGAGTGGTTGATGAAGATTGTCATGAATTACGTGTGATTAATCTTGTCATTTGTGCATTTGAACACATGAAACTTATTAAAAAAAATTGCCAGCAATTTTACCATGTTTATCATTAAAGGCTTTTTTTTCTTGTAATGATTTTAAAATGATCATTTATTTCATTATTTTTCGTTCATCTCGATGTTCAAATAATCTTTTACTTGCCGAAGATGGCCTATTTGAAAACATATTAATACCTATCGTTAAATCATTGCTGTGACCTTTATGTTGATTCTTTAATGAATTTGATGGTTGTCTTCGATAACATGGAAGTAATTTAATAAATTCTCTTCGAAAATCTTGTCCACTTAATGTATATAATATGAAATTAAGTGCATGTTTTGTATACCATAATGATTCAAGTAAATCAAGAATAACTAATTGCGTATCAGAAAATATTCTTGATGATGTTAAACGATTTAAGCAAATATAAATGACAGATGGACATGTTAATAGCATAAAAGCTAATATAACAGATAATAACATAATAGTTAAACGATTATTTCGTTTTTGTTTTCTTCTTGATATGCATAACATATTTGATCGCATTGTTGTACGAATTATAGCAATATTAGTAAATGTCATAAGACAAAATGGTATTATGGCAACAAAGAGTAAATCAAATATAGGAACATATAAACGAAAAAATTTTTCAAATGGTGAACGTGCCATACATACAAAACGGGTAGTTTGAAAATCAATTTCATCTGAAATATTATAAAGTGTTTGAACAATTGGAGTTGGTAATGAAATTTCAGTTCCTATAAAATATAGAAAGAAAAAACACTTTTTTTAAAGTAAAAATAAAATAAAAAGTATATTTTTCTTTTCATTTAAATTTTTTTTACCTAGGATATGAAAATAATGAACATTAACAATAGATACAATTAAAATAAGTACACATGTTGAGTTAATTACGCGCCAACCTACATGACGACGTGGAAAGAAATTTTTTATAATAAAATATCGATCAAAACTAACAACAACAAGTATCCATGATGCTAAATGTGAAAGTGTTGATGAAAAATATATAAATGTTCGACATATCCATAATGATCTATTACGTAAATCAAAATTATATATATGTCGATATAAAAACCGTGTTGATCTCATATAAATAAAAATAATATCAATAACAGCAAGTATACATAAATATTGACAGGTTGATTGACGACGAAAACGTTTACGAAGAAGAATTTTTAAACATAATATATTTCCAATTGTGCCAAATATCATTAAACATGGATAAAAAATTCGAACAAGACCAACACGAATAACATCATGCCACATACCTCTAATCAATGTTTAAAAAATTAATCAAAATAGAAAAAATAACAATGTCTGAATATATTTTCTTACATGCTATTATGAATTTCCGTTAATAACATTAATAAAAAAGATATTTCAAAACTAATTTATAAGTCTCTCAAACATGAAAGAATACATAATACAATCGAATTGAAAATCTGTTATTCCGTGTGTTTTTACATTTCTTTGCATATAAATTAGTATATAGTTCAAATGTTCATAACGCTGATTGTTGTTTTAAAAAAGAAAAATGAAATACGATATTAGAAAAAAAAACCTATTCTACATATCTGTTATTTCCACATCCAACTGTGGGCGGAAAGAATTTTTTTTATCATCGTCATTTTGATTTATGTTGACGGTAAAATAAAATGATCTTCATACTGCATGATTAAAAATGACAAGTGCTGCATTCATATAAACTCATATCCGTATGCCATTACTATGGAAAAATTTTAGATTCGTATGACTTTAGGACATACTTTTCTTATACTTTGGACATGTCTGCGCATAAACCTTGAACGTCACTTGCAGATAGTAAAATGTCACAAACAAATTCTTTTATCTTGTCTATAATCATTTTTTTTTCTATCCACCAAGGCATTGATATGCTTTTTTTTTATTTCATTGATTAAATTTGCTTTAAAGTTTAACGACGAGACAATTCCAATATCTAAATATTCTATTTCTATCGGTCTATATATTTTTACTTAAAATCCGATTATTTATTATTACTGAGAAGTCTAATGATGATAAAAAAAAAAGCATTTTGAGGGTTTATGATTCAAAAAATTAAGAATGTTAGTTTATTTTTTATCAAAACTAAGTCTTATAAAATTCTTGTTTTTTGTTTGAATCTTCCACAACATGTTCTTTTCATAGTGATATTACTTTAAAAATTGCGCTACATAGTTTAGAATTTTATGTATAGAAATTTATGAAAACAAGAAATAGTAGAGTTAAATGAAAATTTTCTTTCTAAGGTTTTCTGAATGCAACTTTTTTTAAGAAACTTTTTAAAATGTCTTCAATAAAAATCTAGTAAATAGAATCAACGAATAATTTAATTCAGTTTATTCAAAATGATGAATGTAGTAGTAAGTTTTATTTCAAAGAAAGTTTATAAACGAGTGATATTTCATCAAGATATAATTATTTTAATGATTACTTTCATAATTAAAGATATTCAAGGTTTTGACAAGGATACAGAATGAAGCGGAATAATATTTAATTTATGTTAGAAATATAGAATATTTTTATAAAGAAATACGAAACGAACAATTTGACTTTATGATTATCATTTTTTTTTGTACACACAATTATGATAATTATATAAAGGAATTTGTTTTTACTAATTTCATTTTCAAAAATTTTCAATTATTCAACATAGAATGTTATGAAATAGAAATGATTTTTCTGCTACGTATACATCACTTGTTTTTCTAGAAAAAGTATTATTTTCTTCGACAGTTTGTCATTGAATATTGCAATCTGACATCTCATACTGTCATCAAAAATCATTTAAATCCATCGCTCCTTCCCTTCCAATATAAAAAAATCATGGTATTCTATTATGAAAATCAACATCACTTTTCATAAAGTAACCTACTATTGCAGGATGGGTTTTCGATAACATTTATCTAGAAAATCAAGGGTTTTTGCAAAAAAATTTATGATATTCAAATAGACCCTATTAAGAGTTGGGTACCGAAAAAACACTTTCTTACTAGAAAAAAAAGTGTTTTTATTGAAAAAAACAGGTTTTTAGTTGCTAAAATTTCCCAAATCCACTTGATTTCTGAAAAAAAAGATTTTTGAAAACCCATGACCTTTTATTACTCCTTGTAAAATGTTTCTTATGATTGGCTTTCTATTCTGAGGGCACTTTAGTTATCAAATCTTTTCAAGTTATTATAATATTTTTTTTTTTTATAAATTTTTATTTGATTATTTATTTCATCAAAAAATAGATTTATCTGTAGAATTATTCCAGAAAATCTATTATTTTTATTCTTTAAGTTCTCTAATTTAATAGATTAATTAGATTGTAAATAAATGAAGGTTGATTATTATCTTTTGGATTATGTTCATAAATTGATAATTGTAATGTATGAAAATTAAAATGTGCTGTACAAAGTGTTACTGATGAATCAACATCAGTTTGATTTGAAACACGAAATATTGGAAATGTTTCATTTTCATTATCACCGAGTAAATTGATTGCATCATTATTTGTAAATAATTCACCGAGTTCTTGACCACGTTTCCAACGACTCAATGTCGAACTAAGGGGTTTTTGTTCAATAATTACTTTATTTAAATATTCATAATGATTATAGTGTACTAGATAATTTAATACTGTTTTGCATTCGTCTAAAGAAAAAATAAATAAATTCATTTAGTTATTTAATATATTCCTTTTACCATCTCTTTGATTTATTTTTTGATCATCATTTATTATAAGACGTTTACTTATATAATTTTCATTATCAATCTTTAAATTAGGTCCAATTTCATAATTAATTAAATAATTTTGTTGACAATAAAAGGTTCCATTTATACAAAAACCAAATGCCACAGGAGACGTATGAAGTAGATTATCTAAATCTTCCTCATTTCGTACTGACAATAGAGCTCGATTAACTATTTGTCGTGGTAAACGATCATGTCCAACAAAATTTGGATATAGACCATTTAGGCTGAATGCAAAACCATGTTTATTAGCACCAAAAGCATTTCCTAAAAGAAAAAAGTAATCAAATATTTTCTTCGTATTCATGTGGAAAGTAAAGTTTTCAAAGTTCTTCATGCATGCATTAGAATAAATATAGAGTAAATGATAAATCTATTTATAGAAAAAGGTCAACAACTTCTCTAACCTATTATGAAATAGTACTCTCGTAAACACAAGAAAAAGTTAGTCAAATAATTAATGCCGAACTATGTGTTTAGATGAATGTCGAGCAGCTGATTATTTGCATTGTACAAGTTATTGAATGGTTTAGAATGACACAAAAAAAATAATCAAATAATTCTTCGTGACTATAAAACATTTGAAAGTTGAAAAATATGTCATATGTTGACTATTTGAAACGAAAGGCTTTTAATAAAAGAGACATTTTTTATATTTTTGGTGGTGTCTTACGACCAAAAATTCGAAATACTACGAGTGGTAACAAATATACAATACAATCTTTTCCACGGATCTCCAAATATGAATGTGGTTGTAGATGTAGAGAGAACCAAAATCGAAACCATATTCTTCCGAGAGCTCCGAAAGTGAAGCTGAACTTTTGAAAGCTTCAAGAATTCGGAACTTACGGAATCCAGTCACTCTTCTTTTTGTGGAAAAAAAAACATTTCTTTCGTTTGTTCTTAAAAATAATAAGAAATAAGTCTATTGCACTCTTAAGAATCACTCATTATTAAAGAAAAGTAATTATTCATACGAAATAACATATATAAAACTCGAAAAAAGTAATTATTTACCTGGAATAACACCAGCATAGCAATAAGCAATAAATTTTTCATTTGGACTTTGACGTTCATTATCGTATTTACTTGATTGAATATCAGCTTCAACAAGGTACCCAGTTAAGTATAACGCTGTTGCATGATCTTCATTATGTAATAATGAAAATGTATTTGTATCTTTTCGATTAAGTAAAACCGTTGTACATCCTTTTTCACCATTTTCATTGATAAATTGTTCATTTCGTGGATCTAATTTGTGTTTTTCTTCTAATAACTTATAAGCTGTTTGAGTTTCATTTAAAAAATTCAAAACAAGTAATTGTTCTAATGGAACTCCTGAACCATCAGCTAAACCACAAATTTCATCCCAATACCATGGATATAATACACGAATAAGTTCAATGAAACTTCGATGTAATCGAAGTCCACATTCTGTTCGGATAAATGCAAATAATACTGATAACTCAGCAAAACCATCAGTAATGCGACGATGAATTTTTTCCCGTGTTATAGTACCAATGGTATGTGCACATTCATAATGTGTGCCGTTGACACGATACAGTGGTATTCTAGTTGAAGCCATTTTCTATTTCTTTGCAGCAGTGGTATAAATTAGAAAAACACAAAAAGAATATTCTTCAACACAAATCTATGACGATCATGAAAAAATGGCAAGATAAAATGTATATATAAGCATGTTGACGCATTAAATTTATAAATTTTGTACAAGGAAAACAAAATTTGAAAATAATCACCGATTGATGCGAATTTTATTGCATACTATTTTCTCTTATATCGATATGCTTTCTGGATGCGAAGTATTATTTTGTTACTCGATAGTTTAATGTGTTATACGCCATTCAAGACTCAACGTGACCAAATCATCTGATTTATCTTATGACAAAATTATCTAAATTGTGTAGTTTTATTTATTTCTACAATAGCGTTGTATTATTGGCTTAAGAATAACCAATAATGAAAGGTAAATATTTGCCGACTATTATTGAATAGAAGAATGGTGACAGGCAGCAATTTGCAGATGGAGATAGTGATTTCAATTTTTTTTACTTCATTGATATTACACTAAATCTTCTGATAAAAATGATTACCCTTGAGTAAAACAGGTTTTTTTTCACGAGACCTTCATATTAAATTATTCAATTGCATGAATTCCAACAGCGATTATTCATCATATCAAACAATTAAAAATATACTTTTTAAATTAAAAATTATTTATTTTCTTAGATTCATTGATATAGTCGTTTACTACATTAATTTTGGGATCGCATGAATTAAGATATCATATACTCTTGTTATTGCACTGAATTGATTCATTTTTTATTCTTTACAATGGAAAATATATATATATATGACAAATGATTTTATAACTACTATTTATTTATAATAATACAATGTATTTCACTACTTTCTGATTAACTCTAAAACAAAAGTAATCAGAGATCTGTTGTTGTTGTCATTCGAAAAAGCAACTTGAACGATGTAAAACTTGATAGAACAGTTTATAAAAGTTTTTGGTAGTTGTATTTTTGAATTTAGCTGAACATTGTAGTAATATGTTCATATTCTTGATATTTAAACTTGGAAGACAACAGATTTGAATGTCAGATATATGGTGGATGGTGTGTCTACATCAACTATACTCAAGAAGATAGTATATTGACGTTGTTCTGTTTAGAAGAGAAGAACGTTCTACGATAAAAATGAAATTTCAAGTTTTTGATATATTAAATCTTATTGTCGTAGTTTTGAATAAGTTTATTGTTAAGTGACTTATATATACTTTTTTTTAACAGATTAGTTTTTACATGGTTTCACGCTTTCCATTTTATTCTTCCGGAGAGTAAAAATCTCAAGTTCCTTATTAATTGCATTCTAGAATTAATCTAGAAACAATGAAGCACATTGTATTTCTTAATGGATAGTATAGCGTAGATCATTAACTATAAGCTATTGCAAACAGGAAAGACTTACAGAAAAGTCTCAACATTAAGATTACACATTACTTTTTAATCAATTTTTTTCCAACCTTTTCATTCAGAAATCTAATCACACAACAAATGTCCATATTAACATATATACATATCTATTGCATCATATGTTACCTCGTTTATTTTTAACCTCTACTGATCGAATACTAAAAATAATCGAGATGTGATGTGAGAGAAAAAACATATTGACGAAAGAAAAATTGTTATTAAACATATTGCCTTGCTAATAGAATACAATCTTAAAAACTGAGTAGATTGATTTTCTATATATAAAGAAAAAAATGTAAACCTTTATTTAGACGAATCAGTTTTGCAATAATAAAATAAACGATATTCAAAATAATGAGCAATAAAAATGTCATTTAGAGATAACATTTTATTATTTTCATTAATTTGCAGATTATAACACTTTATCAATTGAGAAAATGGATATATATTAGAAAGAACTTTAAAGTTGAGTTTGAAAACGACTTTAGTTGAGTTTAAAATAAACTCTTTACTAGTATTTTATTTAAAATATACAAGAAGAATTACAAAAATCAACACTTTATAATCAATAGAAATATATGAGATTGTGAAAAATACTATATTTCAAATGTCTTGAAATAAAAAATGGTAATAGAATAGATCAAAGATTATAGGTTGAGAAAATGGCAATAAGAATACGAATAATTTTTGAAAAGTCTCGATAACATAATTACTTGTTGATGCTCTGCATCATCGTTTTTTTACCTCTTGGCATTAAGTCCATACTAATCTATTGAAACACCATGAAGATGATATTTCACCAGGCTAAATTATATTATCAGATAATAAAGTATAAAGTCATCCGCAAGTACTTAAGCGATTAGATAACTTCGTAACATTATAAAAAGAAAAAATGTAATAAAACAGATTTTTTTTATTGCTTTATGCGATTATGATTTTTATTTTTGTGTTTGTTTTTTATATACAGAAGAAACAAGATAAATTCAAATTATTATATTTTTCAGAAAATTATTTATTAATCAGAAAACTCAGTAGAATGTCATTCAAAATAAGAAAACAATCGAGTAAGTATATATTTTTAAAGGAGAAAAAAACTTCCGTAAAATAATAAATGATAATAAAAAAATTAATTACTTTTTCACTACAACTACAAATCTTAAAAGAGTCAAGAGTATCTTGCTCCTAATAATTCATTACTTCATACATGAACTAAGACAAAAAAGTTAATTGAAAGAAAAAAACTTGTTCATTTTTCCATTATGAACAATTCTCCATGACGCAGAAAAAAAGAGTTTGTGATAATCAACTGGTTGTTGATATAAAAAACATAATCTACTTTGTTAAGGTCATTATTTTTGCATGTATCATAGTAACCTTTTTATGCTTGAGTTATAAGTCTTCAAACAAAGAATGGAATGCATTGACTCTGATTATTTCGTTCCAGTATTATTATCTGCCTACACATTATCACATCTTTTACAGGAACTCGTCCCTATATTGTTATTTTATATTAAAGTGTGTGGTAAACTTCCGTAAAATATCCGTTCTAGAATAATTGAACTGAGTAGCTTTAAATAATTCATTATGAAATTCTTAATAATATTATCAACATACTCAATGTTAATAGTTCGTATATTGCAGATTCTTTTAGAAGAAAAATCTGTGCTATCTAATGCTAAAACCAAAATCTGAATATTAAAGCACAATTGAATTGTTGCTTGAAATAAATATTCTTTTCTTTTTGGTTGTGTTTTTTCTAATTAATTTCGCTGATAGAATTAAAATCAAAGTCGTCATTAACTTAGAATAAATTTATTAAAGAAACTAAATCAAACGGATGTGTATTTTGAGTTTTCTAGAAAATTTAAGCAATCATCCATGATCATCAATATCAAACATATGTAGTTTACACACGACATTATTGTTGACAGGTAGCTATTAAGTTATTAAGAATAATTCAAAAAGAGAGATATTATTTTGTCATTCGTTTTTTTTTTCTTTTTGCTTGAGAAAGAAAATACACTACAGAACCCTATTTATATATATCTATATATATACATCTATACATATAGATAAATAGAAATAAGTTTGACGTAAAACATGCTAAGAAAAACACAGTTAAGTAAATATCGTGTCTAACTGTAAGACGAATAATATATTAGTTTATTCAGATTTTTCAGGATTTTTTTTATTACTTTATTTGTTTTAATATGCACCTATAGCTAGTTTAATATGGTAGTAAATGTGTCATAATTTATGCATCATTCATATCTATCTCAATTATATTCTTTATTCTTTTGTCACTTCATCTCGAAAATAGATAACATGCCGTTGTCTACTCAGTGCATACATATGTAGAGATGTATGGAATAGATGAGTTTGATGAAGGTTTGTTTATACCATTCATTCCAGCATGCACACAACGTATGGGTTTGATGAAAACAAAACGTTATTCCTTTCAAGGTAATTGACGGACAAATTTGTGAGTAGAGAAAAAAAACAGTCAGCAGTTGAAAATAAAGGAGAAAAAGGAATATGTATGTATTAACGACCTTTTGCTTTGCCCGTAGATGTTTTGGACCTGTACACATTATTTTTAAAAACAACCCATACATACGCATCACTTTCTTTTCTTTCTTTTCTGTAGGCTTTTTTTTCTGTCTTCTAATGATGAGTGTCGAAAGAATGCAACAGAAAAAAAGAAAGAAAAACCTACCAATCTTCTCTCCTACTTTGCTTACTCTCTCTCTCTCTCTCTCTCTCTCTGTCTCTGTCTCTCTCTCTCTCTCTCTGTCTCTGTCTCTGTCTGTCTCTCTCTCTCTCCCTTATTCTCTCTAGCTCTTAACCGTTTTCCTGAATCGCGCATTTTGCATAAACATTTTTCACTGTCTAGCGGGTGAATGACTGGCTGAGCTTCGTACATTGATCTATTTTTAACATAGAATGATTCTTTCGAATCCAAGTAAGTTTTAAAAAAAAGTCATTTTGCCGTTAATTTCACATCAAAGTAACTTCATTTAATGCTCGATTTCTTGCATAAGGCTGATCTAAATGAAGAATATCTCTGCTTGAATAATTCAATTAAATTCTTCAGTGAACTTCCGTTGACGTCCGGACGATCTCCTACATAGACGCACGATATGTTAATCGTTATCTAATCCTTGGAAAAATTTCAGAAATAGATTGGTTAAGTAACGAAGAATAGCACTAATGTCTTCGTAATCATTTTATTAGTTGTGAATCGTTAGCATATATTCCCCAATGATATCATTAAAAAAACTGCATTTCTAGTTGAACTTATTGTTTCTTTTGTTTACGCATCTTGTCTGTCATCAGTTACTGTAGTTGCTATTATTGGGTATCAAGTATACAAACGCCAACGATATTACAGAATATAGAGAAGAAAAAACTACGATTGATTGTCAACATAACAAAGCGTGTGATGATCGATGTATGATACATGTCTTTCTTTTATCTTTTGTTTCAAGATCGCATATCATGCATGCAATATTGCCATCGTTGCGTTCTTTATATTTTTGTTTTTGATCGAACTAAAAAAGAAACATGACTGATGTGACAAGGTTGAGTAAGAATGAGTAGGCTGCTTGTCTGTCTGTTTATAAAGATTACTTTTTTCTTCTTCTTGATTACGGAAATGGTCGGATGTATTAGACAAGTATGTTTCCTTTCGAGTTATTTTATGATTGAAAATAAATAAAAAAGAAACATAAACAAAGAAGAAAAGTGGTATTTTATTTGTCATTCGTTTCATCTTTCATTAAATGAAAAAATGTTTTCTTTTATGTCAACTCTTGTTTTCTATTTTGCGATTTCCAAGTATTAATCAAAGAAAACTACATTATTGTTCTTAGTATCTCTTTTTCCCTCTGTTTCATTATATATTTGCCTATCTATGTGGCATCTGATCGAGTTAACGAGAATAGAAGAGAAGATCGCGCATTTGTCTTTTTGCTTTCGGCCGGCTCGATTATTTGTAGCAGTGTCAAGCAGAAAGTAAAGGACAAAAAAAAAGAGAAAGAGGAAGAACGACGAACGAAAAATCCAACATGGAAACAAGTAATAATAATAATAATAATAATAATAATAATAATCGTTCTCATCATACATACACATAGTGATTGGGTGTCAAGAAATAGAAAAAAATGCCACTGATCTATCAAAGTAGTCCAATTGTGAGAGTAGACCATCGTCTGATATCCAGTTGTTGTTCTTTTTTTCGGTAGAGAAAAAATAGGAAAACACGAGAATATGTCTGAGTATGTCATCGGTTGGACATCGTAATACTTAATGATTCTTCATTTGTCAATTTTATCGTCATCATTTTCGGTCATATTAAATGTTCTATCGTAAGTGCATATTGTTACATCAAATATTTGTTTACTTTTTTGTTCTGTTCTATTGGAAATAATTGAAGTATTCTTTTTTCTTTCTATAAAAAGAATATGTTTGCACGTACTGGCGTAATCTCTTTTTTTTTCTTGACATATTAAAACAACTGTGAAGAAAGGTGCATAGTGTCATGTTGTCGTTTTACTGAATTATTTTCTTCTAGTCGTAAGAGAAAGATTTTCTTATCTAACAAGCTAAAACCGGATGCGTTGCTTGATTTTTATTTCTATTCATGTCTTTTTTCAATGAGTAACAATAAACGTATGTTACATATTCACTTTTCAATAACACTTTTCATCTTTATATGACATATTAGGCCGTATACAATTAATGTTACTATTCTTCTTTTTGTCTCGTTAAAATCATTGAGAGAAGCCATCTTGAGTACTATATGAGAAAGTAAACATAACTGTCTGGTTAAAAAAGTATAATTTATTCATGTGACATACATTTTTTTTTTCTTTCAATAAGCATTGTAATCAGGAATAAGCGTACATAAAACGAGTGAATTGCCAATAACCTAGTTTTTTTATTAAGAACTTCAATAAGAATAGATTTTGTAATCCTTCTCAATTATATGCTTGCATTTGTTTTCTTCAATATTTGTGAAACGCAATAGGATTAGCTTTCTTTTTTTTACACAGGCGACAATTTTTTTTTTCTCAATAAATTCTTCGTCTATTTTTCTCATTTTCTTTTGTGCAATACTATTCAATACGTAAATATTTCGATTATAAAAAGAGAAAAAATAGGTACTTTTTGTTTTACTTCAACCTCATACGTTATAGGTTCCTGGCGATAAAACTATTTCCCTCCTTGATTGTTTATGATGCATATAAATCTACATAGGTGAGCCATGCATTTACATTTTCCATGTGAAAGAGCAGAAATAAGTTATGCGTAGATATGTTTTATTTTTATTATTGTAAAAAAAATACGACATTTATCTTGAATGAATAGTTTCATTTCTCTTTCCGATAGAAATTGATTATACATCAGTTCGTCGTATACCAAACGTTAAATTGAGTGAACAAACACCAGAACCAGCAACAACAACAACGACAAATACAATGTCTACTTCAACATCATTGCAAGATATTAGTGCACATCATACACAAAAATTTACTTGGAATGATAATAACAATGACAATAATCGTAAAGATCAACGATTAGTTAACTATTACGAGTAAATTAATTCTCACTTATGGTTTTTTATGGCGATATTAATAATTTTCATTTTTTGTTTTTGTTTTATTCAAGAAGATTATTGTCATCAAATAGTAGTCGACAATTAAATTCATCTCACAGTGATGAACGTATCTTTGAGCATCCTGAAGTAACTATAAAATCATCAGCTCTTGATGATGAAATACAACGACGTTTATTAACAATAAAAACTTCGAATACAAATGAAAATTTTCTTGAAAGTGAAGGTGGAAAAAGTATACCAAATACACTTGAACATCCGGATATGCGTTCACCTGTTGTCATGCAACCGCAACAAATGTCTTCATCATACTCATCGTCAGCATTACTAATTCAAAATAATTGTAAAAAAATTAATAGAACACAGTCAGGTAAAACATATAATTTGGAAATAGCAAAATCATTTTTAACAAAAAATTTACATCCTTTTTTCACAGCTGACGTTTCTACAAATGTAGCTCGAACACCATCACCAAATATCCCTATTGAAGTTTTCCTTGATGACCAACAAGATTTAAGTCGATCTAACTCGCCTGGTCCACTTTTTGGTGATATTATTGAAAGTTTAGAACAAGAGAAAGTAAAATTTATAGAATTATTTCTTTGTTTCTTTTTAATAATTTATATTCATTTGTTTTTGTTCTATTAGAATCAAGATCCTCATTCATCATCATCATTGGCGGCAACAGATTCTCTTCATGAATATTCTGAATCAAGCTCAAAATCGAATATTAATACAATTGAAACAGAGAAAAAGGATTGTTGGTGATGATTATTGCTCATCTATTTTATTTTCGTGCTGTTGTTGTTTATTTTTTCCTATTTTATGTGTACATAGTACTAATGAAAAATGACAAAAAAATTATTTATTTCAATAAGAAACAAATGAAATATGTTTAAAAGTATTCAAAGAAAAAAATGAACACACTAAAAATTAAAAGTTTTAATTCGAAAAAGTTTTTGATATTGAATTTGAATTATATTCTTGATTTATAAAAAAAAGTGGATTACTAACACCTAAACGATATGGTTGATAACGGTCCGTAGTACGTTCACCATATGGAATATCAGAATGAAAATATGATTGTGGACGAATTGTTAATCCATACCTTAACAAACAAAAAAAATAATCAATTTAATAAGAATATTTTCAAAGAATTAGTTTCTCCTTTTTTTCAATACCATAAAAACCAAATAATTATAAAAACTAGCATTAAAGAAAATACATAACCAAATACAATTGCTAATGGCCAAAGATCTGTTGAACTTTTAGAATTATTTTCATCATAATTTAATGCAATATCACGTGATAAAACATATGTTGCATCTGATTCGATATAAAATTCACATCGGTCACCTGTATAGTTTTCAAGACATAAACAAGTGTAATTTGTTGATGATATTATTGATTGGCATGTACCATTTGATAAACATGGACTTGATATGCATGGATCAATGTTGCATGATGAATCTAAATAAAAGCAAATCCCTCAGTTAATCAGAGCATAATATATAACAGAAATATTTGATCATATCTATCACAGACAAATGATTTCTCTTTATCAAGTTGCCTGAGGAAAAAACAAAAATATCTGCCAGTCTATAAGGCTAATCAGCTTTCTTCACATACACATTAATAATATTGCACTTTTCGAAACTATGAATCATATATATATATATATATATTAATCAGTGATTTTTTGCACTTTCACGTTTACCCTTGCAGGAAGACAAACAAAAATGAAAAGAGCAGAAAATTAACCTTGATACTTGTATTATATTCTACGAAAGAGAAAAAATAATGTTTGCTTTCGAAAGTCATGTCTAGCTTAATATAAAAATAAAGCCAATTCAAATCAAATTAACTCACCGTTACAGTTATTTTTAGATAATTCACAGTAGAAACCTGTATAAGATGATTTGCATATGCATAATTCTTTATTGGATTCATCAACCTAAATAGAAATAAAAATAATTTTATGGTATCTGTTTTGTTTTGTTATTTTATTTTTACCAAACAAACACCACCGTTACGACAAATACGAGTACATTGTAGATTGGATGATGGTGGTTGAATTGGGGCTAAAAAAAAATTTGTTTCTATTTTAGTGATTAATAATTACGAAAAAAAGAAAAGTACATACGAGGGTATTCACAATATTTGCCTGTATAATGTGGTCGACATATACATTGTACATCATGATTTGATTTTGCTATACAAATACTCTGATGTTGGCATGGTGAACTTTCACATGGATTTGTTTCTAAAAGAATGTCATCACAACTAATGTTCTACATGTAAATAAAGTATTTTTCAAACATGCTTTTCTTTTCTTTCTACATTCAAACTAAACTTACGAAAATGTGCAATATTTAAAATTTCTGAATGAATTATAAAAATTATATTTAAGGTTGAAAAATAAACATAAGAATTTACCGATTTCACAATAGACTCCAATAAATGAAGGTGCACAAAGACATTGAAACCTATGTTCAGATTGAATAACACAAGTGGAGTTATGGTGACATGGTGCACTTAAGCATGGTGAATAATCTACAGAAAACAAAAAAATTCGAAAAACAAATCAGTTCTGATTTTAATTTTACTATTGTTATGAAATATTGATGATGTTGTAATTGATTGATATGAATTTTTTAGTCTATTTATTGCATCATTTTCATTTAACCAATCCAGATAATCACGTAAATCAGTAGTAAAAGGTGTAAGTGTTAAGTTTTTCATTGATTTTATTCCTGTTATTGCTACAGATGACATTTTTGTAACAGTATCAAATTCTCTATGTGAATCAACTAATTGCGTAACTGTTGTTGGAGCTAGAAAAAAAATGTTTAAAATAAAATTTGAAAAAAAAAAAGAAACAAAAACTTCTTTCAATTCAAATTCTTACTGAACAATGCTTGTGAACAGTCAATTCCAGTCCAGTTATCATCACAAATACAAATTTCTGTATACAAATCAATTTTTAAACATCGACCATGTATACATGGTGTTCGTTCACAAGATGTAACAATAGCTTGTTAAAATGAATGATTTTAATCAATAGAGAAAAAAAAATCAATATTTAATATTCTTACCAACTTCACAATTTCGACCGATATAACCAATTCGACAATGACATTGATAAGCTGATAATGCATTAGTATCAATCAAATTTTCACATGTTGAATTATGTAGACATGGACGACTGGCACAACCACTTGCTTCTATTTAAATTTAATTAGAAAATAAATAAGTTTAAGAAAAAAAATAAATAATTAAAATCTATGTACATATTCAGACGACATAAACACTTGTTGCAATTCGAAATAATCTCTGATAGACATACAACAGATTACGAATCTCAGATTTTACTCTTATTTGTCTTTAGAGATATACTTTCAAGTATCATCATTGTTCAGAGAGGAAGCATCAATGAACAATATTCACACGAGTTTTTTACAGAATGTACCAAGTAATATTCACCTTAAGAATTTAGTCATAAACTTAGAATTTCCGAGACTAGACTATTAAAATATATCTTATGAACATACTTATAAGACTTCGATTACAATTTTCCGATGTCCAACCAATATGACAAATACAGTGTCCATCTCTTGAGCAATCACCATGAATACATGTTGCTCGATTACATATGTTATCGATAGTTTTTATAGCTGGACCAAATCAAAGAAAAAAAAACAACAATTGATTGATGCTTGAAAACAACAACATCTCTAGAATATTTACCAATCTCACAAGAACGACCGGTAAAGCCTTTTTGACATTGGCATAGATAACTTCGAAGATAAACAACACATGTTCCTTTATTTAGACAGGGTTGATCTTCACATGCTCGTACATCTGCAAATAGAAGATAAAAACGAGAGCTTATTTTTCTTTGTGGTATTATTTTCTATCTTTTTACCACTAAGACAATCTTGGCCAAAATATCCATGTTTACAAATTTTTTGTCCAGTAATTAAATCACATTCATAACGTTGCTCATTCGGTGAACAAAATGTTTCACAATTATAACCGTAGTAATTTGTTGAACAATAAAGCTAAAAATGAATAGATTATTAATTCAAATATTGACTATTAAATAAAATGACAAACCATAAAATCAACAGTTAAATTTGTATAAGTACCAAATAAACTTCGAAGATAAATTCTTTGTGGTTGTGCTACTTCAGTTGAACGATAAATTTTAAGATCAGTTAATGTTCTTCCGTAAAAGTCAATTGAATCATGAATAGTTTGATTATTATTATCATCTATATCGAATACTTCAACAATTAGACCAATACCAGTCTTAATACAAGAAGAAAAGAAAAACGACAGTTAAATTTAATCGAAGAAAAATATTACAAAAAAAAAAGCTGATCGTTTACTTTTGGATAATTAAAACGAAAATAAATTGTTGGTTGAAACCAAAGAGAAATTAATGATGATCGTTGTCTTTTTTTATTAATTGATAAAATAGATCGTCGTTGTAATTGTTGATCAATATTAACAAAATGTATATCATCACCACCAACAAAACCCGTAAAATGATCACCTAATGTACAATTATGTGGATTTTGAAATGGTAAATGTACGAGACAAAATAAAAATCCTGTGTCACATCGACCATCTCGATTGATATCATGTTCCAATTTGGTATCACATGGATATTTTGGCCAAGATTGTCTTAGTGGTAAAAAGATAGAAAATAATACCACAAAGAAAAATAAGCTCTCGTTTTTATCTTCTATTTGCAGATGTACGAGCATGTGAAGATCAACCCTGTCTAAATAAAGGAACATGTGTTGTTTATCTTCGANGCTTTCAAAACCACTCCTACTCAACCGATTGTTTCACAGCCAGGACCATCTCGATTGATATCATGTTCCAATTTGGTATAACATGGACGATTTTCATATGTTAAACCATTTCGATTTTTATAATGAAGTAAACGTAATGAAAGTGTTACTTCACTCAATGATAACTATTAGAATTTAAATTAAAAATAGTAAAGGGAAAAGAAAAACAAATTTTCAATCAATTAGACAAACTTTAAGAATAGCAAAATCATAAACAAGAATAATAATTAACCATTGTACCATGTCGACCTTCGGTTCATACTATTAAGAAGCAATATGCATGGTATTTTCGCACAAGTAGACGTGAAGGATTCACATCAAATAAATGTGAGAAGAAGGCGAAAGGTATACATCGCACATATATATATATGTGTATATATGATAGTCAATATTGTATACACGCCCTGTTCTTCATTTTCTTCCAAATGAGTGTTTACCTTAGGGTTATTAGCCGAGATGCGCTTAGACGATCTTGTCTTCTTTTTTTTTCTTTTATGCATTTATATTGCGACTATAAAGCTCAAAGATTGCAATGAGATGCAACTTTGATCTTATCATCGTACATTTTTATTTTTGGTGTTATCCTTCTTTGTCTCGTACATACAAAGAATTAATTTGAATTGAGATGATGAAGAAAAGAACAAAAGTTTGATCAGACAAATATGCCTGTGCATGCATACTAACGAATAGTATAATTAATATATACAATTGTTCGACGACACCATCATTCATTTTTATTAAAAGTAGAATTTGATGTTTTCATTTTTTTAAATTTAGGATTTATTTGGTAGAAAAAAAGAGTTTTGCGTTTTCTAAATAACTTATCAATAATAAGGACATATTTCATAGTAGAATTAATATGCACTCTTTAACATTGTATTATTAATCAATTGCCATATCTGTTAAGTGCAACGTTAAAGTCTGACATGCATCAAAAATAACAACGATAATAGGCATATGTCTGTTAAAAATCGAAAGACATTTATTATTATATAATTATAGAACGTGTTTGTCAGTATATTACTGGAACAAAAAATATCTCAATTATAATATAAAACTTGAGTGATATACAGTTGATTTAGTGTAAACAATCAGAAATTATTGACATTCATGTCTGAAATAGTTGATGTAGTTTTCGACTTATTGTCAAGATGGAACGATGACAGAGCACTATAACAAGAATGTTGAATAACTATAACTTTTTTCTGTTCTTTAAAGTGCAATTCTGTTGCTGCGTAAGTAAAGAATTGAAGGTTAGTAGCCGAAAAAAAATATCTTCTTCGCACGAATTCTTTATCTAAGAAAGTAAGTGAAAATCCCTGTTGAGTATCAACAAAGAATATGAAATATAGTGATTATTTACAAGTACTAACAGTTTCCTTTCTTAAATCTAGAATCATGTTCACCAAAATTTAATAGGTATACAAACATAATCAGTTCAACAGTTTCTATCACTTGGTTCTATCGGATAGCATTGCCATTTATTTTTTGAAGAACACTAATGAAATGTAATTGTCGTCCGTATTATTGACTTTATCGACGAACTTACTAAAGAATGTTGCTATGTTTGATATGAAAACAATTTATAGACGAATCAATTGGAAGATTAATTAAGTCAAAGAAATTTTTCAAAAACTAGAATGATTTTCAAGCATTGAGCCACAGCAAGAAAAATCAAGGTTTAGCTTTAGTGAAAGAAAACATAGAATTTTTACATTACTCTTGTCTATCTCGGGACATTCTTAACAATACCTACTTTTCTTGAATATTAAAAATACAGTGAATAACTTTTTTTTTAATGAAATAACTTTCATATATTCGATTTGAATTCATTTCTCATATATGTAGGTAAAATATTTTAATGATTTTTTGATTGTAGTTGATTGTTATATAATTCAATATATTATTCATTACTATATATAGTTTCAAATCAAATCAAGCCTAGACATAAGGTAAGATTATTTGACTATATCTGTGTTTATCTGAAGAATATTTATCATTTCAGATTCGGTGAGTCAATCTTGGTCTAGTCCTGACATCCAACTATTTTGATATTGTTACAACGATAGAAAAGATAATTATTATTTCCCATAGAGTAGCCATTACAAAAATTTCTACAAGTGATGTTTATCGCATTTTTTTTTGACTCACATTTTTCAGTTTTTGAAAATCTGCATCCAAAATAATTCAATAACGTTGATCATCTCTTTTTTTTTTTGCTACAATTAATTAAATTTTTTTTTGATAAATATAAGAAAATACGATGTAGAAATGAAATATGTCTGTGTAAGTATGATCCAATAGGAACTGTTCGTTTTAATTTATTTTAAAGTCGTATATTAGCAGGATTTTCATCTTTCGAATCTGGTACTGGCTGTGAAACAATCGGTTGAGTAGCAGTAGTTTTGAAAGCTACACCTTGTTCATTTTCTAACCAAATCAAAGAGAAAATTTTATAAAAATAGTTATTCATGATTTACTTCTCGATTTCATTTCACGAGCTTCTTGACATAATGCACATGGACTACAACATAATGTTGTTGGACAATCACCGCATGATGGATTAGGTTTTAAATTATATTTTTCACGTAACTTTTGACGTTCAAAATAATGCGGCAACCAACATAAGTAAACATTCGTCAGAATTCCATAAAGACAACACATTAAAAAACAATTTTTGCCATCGATTTTTTCTGCATTTGTACCAAATAAACATGGTGTACACCAAAAACCATAACAGAATGTTTTGCAATCACTGCAACAACCACATAATTCCTCTATAGTAATATATAAACATCATATATGTTAAATAATCATTTTAACTTACCATTCCATTCATTTTCACCTGACATGTTCGACAGATTAAATGTTAAGAATAAAAAAATCTAGAAAAACTCTTGTCACTTACAGTATGATTCACAATCAATAGTTAGTTATAAAAGATGATAATCAACCTAATATTATCTTATCCATGCATACATCAAACAATAGAAAATCAATACACGGAATAGAGAAAAAAAAATTATGGTTCTCTACGTTGTAGCTACATTGTTTTTACGATGTTTTACTCTTGTTTGTATGTTGGCCTTTTTTTTTCTACCTATCACAAAGCACATGGTCCTAAATCCTTGAAAATACAAAACTAATCATTCTGCTCATAGCCATCATATAACTGAAGCATATTCTAGATTATTATAACTAATAAATTGTCAGTCCCATTGCTTGTATGAAGGTAAATCACAAGAATATCCAACGAGCGAACACACATTTTATATAACAAAATATGGGCAAAAGTCGCTATTTTTTTCTTTTTCTACATCACCTTAACATTGGAGTAAACAAACAGCCCTATAAATCAGTTATGCTCGATCGTTTATTTTTACTAACGATGAGCATGAAGAAAAAATTTTTTTTTTCATGTCGGAATTGTATTACTAATTGTGAGTGATGATAACATGTTGTTTCATTAATTTTATCGAAAAGTCAATGATTATGATGAATCTATAAAAATATCGTATCGTTTTATTTTAGAGAAATTAGTTATAAAATGTCATCGAGAGCAAGTATTAATATAATCTTGTCCATGCCAGGATATTATCATATGCCGCCATTAAGTTAGATAAATACTTGAGAAGAATTGAAAAGGTCATATGCTACTATTTTTATGACAGAACAAAAAAAAAGTATCTATTCGTAATAAAAACAAGGTAATTACGTTCATGAAAAACATAATAAATAAAGCACTGTGATTCAGATTTACTTTTTATTTTCAATTGTATTGATGTGAATTATTTAATATTTGAATATATATATATTTTCTTTGTTTTTATATTATTTTTTATTGTCAAACGAAACAAGAGTTCATTCTATTATTTAAACTAACTATAACACGTTATAATATAATATCCTTCGATATTTTTTCTCAACAAGAACGTCGGGTTCTGAAGAATAATACCAATCATTTGTTTCTTTGATACTATGATTTTTTAAAATTCAAGCAATAGTTAATTTCTTTTCGATTTTTTTAATTAAAATATGAATACATACACAGCGTTTATATTTTATTTTTTAAACAACCACATGCATTGAGTAAAAATATCTATATTCACAAGTCATTCAAACTATATGACTTTGTTTAACCTTCCAATCTTTTTTCAAAATCTATTGCTCGTTTAATTTATCGTTTTCTTCATCTTTTATTACCTTAGTTTTACAACTTTTATTCATTTTTGAAAGATAATAATGTAAAAAGGCTAAAACATTTTCAAATGATGAAAAAGAAGAGATGAGTAGAATATCAATTTTTATTATTATCTATTTCAATATTCCGAATATATTCAACAACGTTGCAAAAGAAATTTTTCTGTAGATATTTATGACAATATACTAGTTTTATATTATTAGAGTTTAATGATAAGCAAACAATTTGATAGTTTTTAAGAAAAGAAATGTACTAATATGTGACATTTCTAGATTTGATTTGCATCAAACCGACATTTTAATTTGCTACTGATAAAAAACAAAGTCTTTTCCTCAAATCTTAATTTCATATAAACATATTCATTCAATGAGCACTGACTTTCATGGTACTTGAGCTTTTTTAACATCAAATATATAATACCATTTGACATTCAATCGAACGCGCATGAACTATGACTAGAGCATCCGTCACATTTCGTTTTATTAGTTTCGCCAAAACTATGCGTCGATATTAAATCGCTAAAATGTTACAAACCATTGAAATATTGAGTGTCACTTCACAATACCCCGCTCATATTCAGTAAGTTCATCTTCTATATATATGTAATCATAGTGATCATTTTGGAAGCTTCCACCATTTATCAACATCTGTTCGACTTTGTTTAACAAAATAAAACTGCATGAATCATTTAGCTGACAAATAACAAATGATTCGACGTTTTTTGAAGTAACATTTATCGAACTCATCAATTAATCGAAAGTTTGAGATGTATTTCAGTGAACGTAGACAACAAAGTAACAACAGATATAGCATGTTTGATATATACCAATATTTTAAAAATGTTGAATGATATCTTCAAAAATATTTTTCAGATTACATCACGTCTGTAGTGTCTATCTGTCAGACTAACGATACAACAACAATTGAGTTCATTGTTCATTTCAATATAAACTATGTTAGATACTAGTGTCGGACATCGATTTGTGTTAAAATAATTAAAATCAAGAACATCATGTGTTCGAAAGTCAGTGACTAATTGATTAGCTACATAAACAAACTGAAAGAAACTAAGAATAATGAGATATTCTGGTATATTAAGTTATTTTGACGAGCAATGATTAATGATTCGCTCGCACCTATTTCCTTTGGGTCTTAGTACATTAAAAGTATCTTACCCATGTGAAGTGCATGGGATAAGCAACATAATTAAACGTGACCAAGTATCGGCTGACTTATATTTAAAGAAGACGTCTCGGTTAAATTCAATCTTGAAATTATCCACGTCGTCAGTAGTAGAATAAGATCAAAACTCGTTGTCATAACATGTATTCACTTTCGATATTCGGCATAATTGCTCATTTTTTTCATTAATACAATCAAAACTAACGTGACATAGTTGCCGCCAATCAATACACATTGGTAATAGGTCACGATGCCTTAGGGCTTTCAATAGATTTACAGTCCTTAATTTGAAACAAATTTGTTTCTGTGAGAGTATGCACATGAGTGACGAGACGAACCATATCCACCTCCACACCCAACATAGAACAGTAGCTGTTAGATAGGATTGTTCTTCATTCCGAGCTTCTGTTCGAAACAGATTTATAGTACTTCAAGATAGTAAAAAGTGTAGACAAGAGAATAAAGAGGAGGTATCGGTTACAATCCACAGCAACGAGAATTCTGAGAAACAAACCTCAGATTAGGAATGTCGGATTACAATTAGCATTAACCATTAAGCGTAATGCTTTCGCATTATTGGCATTAGAGTTAATTAATGCTTAGGTGTTAGCATTACTTTTACTTCCGATACCTAACCTATAATGCAAAAATAATGGGACAAATGTCGAGCTCTGTTTCTTTTCCATAAAATGGTGCTAGAAGAAATTTTTTTTTTTTACCAGCAGATAGAGCTTTTCTCCTCGTTCGAATCGTATATAAATTATCTTTCTAAAATGCTCATAAATGAAACAGTATCAGTGAAAAAAGAAGCACCGTTATAGACAATCTGCACTTTTTAAAGAAAATGATTGTATAAAATGTCGATTCTTAATCTCTTGGATAAATAGTTCCTGAAAAGAATACTTTTTTGTCAGTTGATAGGAAATTGTCTTCTCTATCGATTAGTGTATGATTTATATTGGTCAGACATTGGTAAATGAAATACGACAAGAAAAAAGAGAAGCCTTCACGTAATAAATTTTTTAGTTTGTATATGAATTCATCAAAAACATCTTGTAGATGAAAGTTAATTATGATTAACTGTCGTTTTACAAGATATTTTTAACGAGTTCATAAAATTTGAATTAGTTGTTATCTAAAAGTTATGAATTGATTGCGCGGGTGCTCTTTTTTTTCTTGTCTCATTTCACTGTTGTCAATGTTTGATAAATATAAATCATACACTGTTTGATAGAGGAGACAATTTCCTATCAACTGATAAAAAAAAGAATATTCTTTTCAGAGCCTATTAATCGAATAGATATAGGGACCAACATTTTGTGCCATTTTTTTGAATCTCACAAAAAGTGCGGATTCTTTTGAAGGGTGTTTCTCTTTTTTATAATGTCGATTCATTTATGAACGTGTTACATACATAAATTATATACGATTCGAAAGAGGAGAAAAAGGTCTATCTGCTGGTATAAAAACATTTCTTCTAGCACCTTTTTATCGAAAAGATATTAGAGCTCGACATTTTTCACATTGCTTTTGCATCATAAGTTAGCATACTTAACTAATCGCGTTGCTAATTACTTACTTACCTTACTGCCTATCTTTTGATCTAACTATCCGCTTAAACTCGTAGGCAAAGTTCTTTTTTATTCCATCCTTTAATTCGTATTGCATCTCTTTAGTTTTTAATGAATGTTTATTACAGAATGTCTTAAGTACTTAATTTCAGTATAGTTAAAGCTGATTAGAATTGACTTTAACGAAAAATATGTCTTTCGACACTACGTGAGCCTCTTCGCAGATTCTTTCATTGTTTAATTATGTCTATTTTCGGTCCACTAATGATTTAAATATTTTGAACTTATTGAGATCTGTGTCGTCGACTGTAACATTGCTGATTGATCGTTGAATCGGTCGCGAAAAGGGATTAGTAGGTGAAAAAGATAGTAAGACAAGTAGCAGATCTTAACAGGAATAAGTAAGTCAAAGAAATATCTTTACAGTTACTCATTTGTGGTAACAATAAATAGTATTGAAAGAAGTGCCTAATTCATTGAAGCGAATCGTGATGAGTCATATGCTATAGTAAAATAAAATACTTAAACCGTTGTTGTAATAAATAGTCAGTTGATATCAAACGAATGCAATATAGAAAAAAGTTGTTATCAAAATTCACTGCAGTAGTAAAGTATACAACGCGGTATAGAGGTTTGATGAATAAATGTCGAAAATAAACTGTCGAAAGCAATACGTCGGGAATCTAAATCCTTTTTAGTCAAAGCTTTCACTCTTACTCTCACTAGTGCGCTGTATGCATGTATGTTATATTACGTTCTAGTGATCAGAACTAGGAAAAAGTATTTCATTAAGGATTTACAAGGATTTCTAATTTTCAACATTTTGCTACTTTTCCGGTATAGATACTTGTGCTTTGGATGGAAAAATGATTTAACGGTAGACCCATGGGATGTCGCC